GGAGGAGCAGATGGACTTAATGAACAAGGGCACTTTATAAGTTGTCAGATTATTTGCAGATAGATGTAAGTCTGGCTGCGATGATGCTCTGTGTGATTGTTTGCTATGCCCTACAGGAAGCTCTACCACCCCAACAATGCCCAACTGGGCATGGTCGTGATGCGGGCAGGGCTGACCAACTGGCATGCTGGTAACATTGAGGCGGGGCGTGGGATGATCTGCAAAGCCTATGCCATTCTCCTGGTGACACACGGACCGTCCCACCCCATCACCAAAGACTTAGAGGCAAGTAGCATCTCGGGGCTGGGTGCTCCCTGCCAGATCTGAGCTCTCTGAGGATGAGAGTCTGAGTTCAGGTGGACTCTACTTCAGGGAAGTCTATAGATTGCAGCTAGACCAGCAGGGAAGTCAGAAACGCTTTAGTCCACTCTCCTTTTTTTCACGTATGAGGACACTGAGGCTCAGGGAAGGGGACTCATATGTCCATAGTCATATCATGAGTTAATGGCAAAGCTGAGACTTGAACCCTGAATCTGTTGTATCATGATGCCCCAAGCCTGGACTGAGAAAACCTAAACAATGATGTGTATGTGTCTGTGTGCAGCCACCTAGTTAGGGAGTATTCTGGTCTACACAGAGTGGAGCTTGGGATCGCAGGCTCTGGAATTAGACCACCAAGACTGAGTTCCAGTGTCACTGCTTCCTAGCTGTGTGACTTTGCACATATATTGAATGTATGGGCCTCAGGCTCCTCATCTGTAAAATGCGGGGAAACGATATGGTTGTGGTGAGATTGTGATGAGTTAATATGTGAAAAACACTTAGAACAGCACCTAGCAAATGGCACTGCTGGTAGCCTTCGTGCTTTGAAGCGCTGGTTTATTTGAGAGCGACAAGACTGTCCTCAGACAGTGTAGCAGATAGACTTTGCTGTCATAAAATGTATTACAGAATGATGACATTTAGGACTTGTGTGACCTCAGATATGGATGTCCTTTTAGTTCTCAGGTCCCCAGTTTCCAAATCCCTGAAATGTGTATAATATATCAGTCTCAAAGCTGACAGCATGACCAAGTGAGGGGCAGACGAGTGGGGGTAGCTAGCTTTATGTCTGGTGTACTGAGCTTGTCAAAGGCAGAGTCTTTCTCGATCTTCTTCACTGCCGTATCCTCAGCCCCTGAACAATGCCTGGCCCTTGACAAATATTTCTTGAATGGATGTATGAGGGAGTGAGGGCCTTTCTGTGTGTCACACACTGTAATCTTCCTAAGCCACTGTGAGGTACAAAGAAAACTGAGAGCTAAAACGGTTAAGTCACTTCCCTGAGGTCCCACAACCAGTAAGTGCAGGAGCCAGGGTTCAAATCCAGGTCCCCAGTGGACAGTTCCTTAGAACAAACATTCTCTGGAGAGAACTATCCCTGCAGCTGCTCTCCAAGGGTCCAACTCTCTCTCTCCAGCAAACCGCGCCCACTGCCAGGATATTAGGCCCCCAGCGTGTGTGTGCCTGTGCACGCGTGCTGCGTGTGTGTCTTCTGAAGGGATAGATTTGAATCTCGGTGACTGGGTGTCATTTACCCCAAGGTGGGTCAGAGACCAACATGTTTGTTGTACTTGTGTCCCACAGGCCATGCGGGTGCAGACAGAGATGGAGCTGCGCATGTTCCGCCAGAACGAGTTCATGTACCACAAGATGCGCGAGGCTGCCCTGAACAACCAGCCCATGCAGGTCATGGCC